AGTTTGTCGCCTCCCGTGTGTCGAGCCCTTTATTCCCGCCCTTGCCCCGGCATATGTCCTGTCAACTAAATGACATAAACAGAAGCAAAAATAGATCAAAATTAGCAAAATATCAATACATTATAAATATCAACAAAATTAGCTTAAACGCAGTATTTGAAGATGTGCGTCAATGTTTCGCTACACCAGCTTGTTTGATTTCTGACAAGAATTAAAAAAACATGTCTATAGAAATGACAAAAGCTTCAAACTTTAATTTTTATACTGCCAGATTTTTAATTAAAACTGTGCTCCTTTCTCTCACTTAGTCCATCATCACGAGCAGGAAACAATCTCCAGTGGGCTGACAAGGATCCATCAGACCGGTCACTCAAATCGCATTAAAAGACACGTTTGTCGACAAGTTCAGCCTTCGGAGGACACAGCTACTGAATTCTAACAGATTGCCAGTGAAACATGGATCGAAACGGTCTAAAACCAGGTTTATAGCCGGTGCGTTGGACGTCAGGGGCGACACCCAAAAGCGTTACTAAAGCCTGCAGACGAAAAGGTGGCTGCTGATTTGTGATATCCTCACCACTGATACGCTCCCTCGTCKCCTTGGTTTGGTTTTCATGTTAGAGCTGACTTGTTGGAGGAAGCTGCTGGCTTTAAGACCTTCTAMACACTGGCTGGCTGAAAAAGCCCCACAGGTTTTACTCTGTGATTTTATACCCATACATTTGTTTGTCAGTGAGAGCTGTAAGAGTCACTTCAATACGCTGCATACAGAACATAATTTCCATCTAAATTCAACTGCTGCAAGTCATCCCCATGATTAGTTGTTTATACTGTAGAGGAACAATTCTCCTCATTGGCCTTTTTAGGAAAATAGCGATATTCAGGACCAATTTTATATCTTCTCCTGCTGCTGCCGTTTTATCCTCAAAATATATCTAGATATATTCTGACAACTTAAGATTTCAAAAGCTTTCTTCTTCTCTTCAWTCCTCTTAAAAGCACAAACTGTAGCATAATTGTTCACAATAGAAGAGGTTTCTCAGGCACCCTGACAAAATGAGAAGGAGCTTGCACAGGGAAGGGTAGGGTGGAGGGAGGAAGCCAAAAAAAAAAACCTTGACACGGGAGAATCAGCTGTCTGTTGGAGCGGTGAGTCGGGTCGAGCTGAGAGGAGTTTGGCCGGCACAGTCGGTGCGCTCGGGCGAGGTTCTGTCCTGCAGCTCCGGATTGGGCCCTGTGGCCGTAATGAAATCTGACAGGATGTAAATGAGTTTTTAAAAGAGCTGCTGAAAGCTGGTCATTTTTCTCGTTTAGCGGTCCAGTGTGCTGGCCGGGTCCCCACCTGTCACCCTACATTCCCGCCTTTCTGTGGATCCACGACGTGCCCAGTGTAAACCAGCAGATCATGTAAAATGATGATGCAGTTCACGCTTTTGATGTCTTATTAGTCTACAAATTTGACTTCTTAAATAACTTTTCACTTAAAGTGAAAAAATTGCACAGAACAGAGTACTTTCTTTTGCTAAAACATATTTTCAGCATCCTTTATTGATGTAGTTAAAATATACATTCTTCTAAAACTTCACTTTTTGAGAATTTTGAAGTTTTTCCCCCTTTTGTARTTTATTCAATGAAAGTTCATATAAAACAACAAAGAATAATTTTGTGTTAGTGACAAATACTAAGGTGTAACTGTAGYTTTTTAATGTTTGGATAGTAAATGCAACTGGAACAGTTCCTGGAGAAACTATGAAAGGGCTTACCACGTGCCGTCCAATTTACAGCGAGTAAAATAAGTATTGAACACGTCACCATTTTTCTCAGTAAATATATTACTAGAGGTGCTAATGACATGAAATTTTCACCAGATGTTGGTAACAACCCAAG